TTAAAATAAAAATCCATTCACAAGGGCATTTTGACATGCTTATCCCGGGATACCCTTTGCACATCAAAAAAGAAAAATCGCGTTTAAATTTATGCTTAGATACTTACAGCAAGAGTTTTCCCTGATCCAGTCTGTGCGATGCCGACTAAATTATCTCCTCTTAATGCTATTGGCCAGCCTTGAGCTTGAATTGGCGTTGGTGACACAATGTCATTTTGCCTGAAAAATTTAATAAAATATTGATTATTTACGCAAATTTCGGCAAATACTTCATTGGATTGGACCAGAGCTAAAAAGCTTAAAATTGAATAACTGTCTGAATTTGATTTAATGTAATTTAAAAAGAAGGACCCATGCAGTCTTCATTGCTGTTGAGAGTTATTGCGAGAATGAAGATTGATTTTGCTATTTGAGTAGTGCACTGAAAAGTCGTACTGCAAATCTTTCAATAATATATTTTCCCCCTATTTTTCCTTCCTAGAAGTCCATTGATGGCAGGGACTGCTATTTCTTTTATCCATATCAATTGAAAATAGGACTTGAAAGGAACAAAACTGACAAACAGCATTTTCAAAGTGATTGCATTTTTGCTTTTTCATTTTCATTTGCTGATCACTTCCAAAAGTTGTAAGGGAGTTGGAAAATTTTGCTATGAGGCACGAACACTAGAGTGCAAGAAACCGCTGGTACTTTGGAGCTTTTTGTACTATTACCAATTGGAGTATTCAAAATTTATTGTTTTGTTGGAAATTTTGATATGACAATGCATTTTGAGGTGGTAAAATTTTTAATCTCAACTAATTTTTCACTGTAACCCTTTACTATGAATAGAGACATTTTTTATCTTAAAATTTGTACTTACTCAAGTTGTCTTAAGACATGTTTGGGGAATTTTGCTTCAGTGAAGCTGATTAGAGGACCAGGGGCGTCTTCGTGGCTAACGGTGATTTCATTAGTTCTTCTGTACAATTTAATTTCGTCATGAGACCGTTCTAAATAACTTTCTAATGGTTGAAAAAAGTTTTTGGTGAAAGGGACAAGTTTAATTTCATGCCAATTAGGTTTGATGAGACCACTTCCCAGAA